ACTGATACACTTTCCACATCCTAAAGTATGTTTAAATCAAATTAGATCATTTATACATATGAGAAACTTACTAGATCAGTTTGGTGTATGGAAGATGTATTGGAGCTGTTAATCATTTATGCACAAATACTGATACAATCCAGTGAACCTGTTGAGCAGAAAAATGGAGCAAATAAAATTATTCTTCTGGATGATAACATGGGGAAATTAAATCACTTATTGCCATACTTACAATGTTTTTTTCAGGGGACTTCAAGTAGAATCCTTGAACTGCTATCACAACTATGTTGGAAGATACGAGAATAAAGATACCTAGAGAATGCTTTCCCATCCACTCTAACACACATGTCAACCATCTCCAACCATAAACATCAACCTGTCGGGAAGACACTCACTAAATAAGCAAATTGAACTAAGTTATATTCTACAATTACACTAAAACATGCTCCTCTACAATTTAGTAGCAGAGCAGATGCTTGGAAAGAAGAAAACACAGTAAAATATGCCATAAAGGAGAATTAGTTCCATTATTTCCCCTAACCCGCACACTTAGTGACATTTATAGAATGATTAAACAGAACTGTCGATTTTGAATACATGTTTTCTAAAAGAATTCTTTTTTTTTTTTTCATGGATAGGTTTGGAAGGGGTAGGGATTACACTATTTGCCTATAAACTGTTATCCTAATAAGTGAATGTCCAAAAGTATTCACAATTCTGAAGATAGTAGTTGGAATCTTGATACTCACCAATGTATACAGTGCGCAAAAAGTGATTCCAGCACATGCTGAGGTGACCAACAAATAGCTGATTGTGTACAAAGATTTGTTTATAGGTATACCTGAAAGACAAGTTCAGACATAAAAGTAAATGGCCTGTACATGTTACTACTTTAGTGAAGTGCATACAAGAAAATAAATAGTCAAACAACAAAGAATTTCTAGAGAACTTTGTCCTAGAACTTAAAAATTCCGTTATTATGGACGGAGTGAGGTATTTGCTGAACCGGAGTTACAAGTACTAGCTGACATTGTAACTTGTCTCTGGCTTGTATGTATCAACAATTGGAGGTCAATGCCCAAATATAATGACCACCAAACAATCCATTTAATTCTATATGTATTACCTAGAACGTCCGTAAACCATAATAAAGCATACCCACGAAGGCAAGGAAGAGACCAAGACCCAGAAATGCAAAGGAGAAAATGGACCAGTTGCGCAGCCGCTCTTTATGCTCCTGAAAAAAATTCATTGGTGAGAGCTCCACAACAATGTTTTTCATAAATAATCTTGTGCTAATAAGAGGATATGTTTATTATCCTTTGAATTCTAAACGTGCATTAAATAGGTGCATAATCTATGAATCAAACTTCTAGCAGTAATGTTAGTTTCACAGTGATCTCATTTTGGTCCAGAGCTTAATAGATCGAAGTCGGGAGAAAATGAGGAAATCAATAAGCAACTAGTCTCGGAAAAAATAAGGCTCGCTCTCAAGTTATTAACCAAGAAAAATTAAACAGCTAGTTGAACAACTACAGTCAGTTACTCTAGCACTTCCTTACATTCACAATAGATTATAGATATTTTAAAAGCAGATGTTAGGTTCCTGTGTCTCACCTGCAACTGCACAAGAATGTGGCCATACTGAAGTCCGATAATGCAGCTCACAGCAGCCGTTAGTGAACTATCAGAACATTGTAAACCAGAAGGTTTTAGCAGAGAGACATTTATAGCAGAAATCAGCGAATTCGAATGTTGAAAAAAAAAAGACTTTAGATCACTACTTTACATATGTCAGTTGAATGAACTGAGGGAGAACAAAAAGAAAGACGTGGATATTGCTTACCTTAAAATACCTTCAGGATCAAAAGGTGCATGACACCAAGAAGGTGCAGTCTCTGGAACTTGGCCATGGCTTGATATATTGCATTCCTGCACGTTAAATGCTGTTTATGAGCTGATGAATTGCTTGATATGAGAAATTTAATAATTTACTCCACAATAAAATACCTTCAAATTTCTGTAAACGGGTTTGGCATAAAGATGATCAATTCCAAGGACATTACGATCTATCATTCCAGCTGAATTACATGCAGGCCCGAGGTCACCTCTTACAGAACACTTCACCTGTTCAACAAACAAAACTTTTCAACCTCAAAATCAACATTTTAATGAGTAGCAAGCTGATAATAATTGTTCGTGAGCATATGTTCTCGAATATCAGCATTTGCATCACTGCATATTCAGTAAGAGTAGGTTAACGAGAGTACTGGGTTCATGACACTCATACTTCTGAACTATTATTAAACGAATTATTGGAATAGTAAAAAGGTGTAAAGTGAATCATCCCATTTATGCATGCAAGAATTTTCCTTTTTCATTTTGGCTTACGTTCTCACTTGATTGTTAACTCACACTAAACCAAAATTAATCTCTTTCGAAACTGATAAGAGATGTGAGAGTAAAATA